TGGGGTGGGCCGCGGGCAGGAGGCATCTGGTCCCGGTGAGAGGCCGCCCCGTGCGGGGAGGGGGCACGGGGGGCCTCCGTCCCCCCTTGACTGCACGGCTCCACCTGCGTCAACCGTGTCCGCCCCCGCCGGCGGCCTCCTGGGCGCGGGTGGGAGGGAGGGTCTGTGGGCGCCAGGGGGTCCCTGGGGTGCTGTGGGCTGTGCCCCACATCCCTGTGCCATGGGGGCTTGGGGTCCCGTGGCCACCAGTGGTCCTGGCCATGTGCAGCCCTGCCCACGCGGTGCTGGCCCTGGTGACGGCTGTGGTGCCATGGCGCCATGGGGACGTGGTGCCGTAAGGTCATGGCTTGGCCGAGGTTGCTGCCAGAGCAGGAGGGGTGCAGGCGTTGGGGGTTGACCCTGCCAACCCCCTGCTTTCCTCCCTGCTGCTTCGCTGCTCTGGTGTTCCGGCAGCTTCTGGGGCTGGGACGTGGCACGCTGGCCTCACCAGGGCTGGCTCACACCTCAGCTGGGCAGGGACATCCCCTTCCCCAGCCTCTGGCATGGCTGGCACATGGAAAGAGACACAGCCTCCCAACAGCTTTTGTGGTCCCGTCCCCTCTCTGGCAGGGCTGGGCAGCCCCTGCAGCACCGCAGAGGCTCCTCGGGGGCTGCGGCAGGGCTCGGTGTGAGGGGAGGGTGGGTTTGTGCAGCCCGTTCTGCATCAGTCCTGTGAACGGGCCAGCCCATCCACCCCGACATTGCAGCGCTGACCACCGGGTCGGGGGAGCAGTTGTGCCGTGGGGTAGGAGAGGGGATGGGTCCTCCTTCATGTCATGCCTTGAGCTGCCCTCCTGTCTCTGAGGTGGGGGAGTAAGTGGGGATGACCCTGAGTGTCCCCCTCCCCTACTCTCCCAGCCAGCACTGGTGGCTCCCCTGGAGCTCCCCATCCCCATGTGCCCCTCTGGAGCTCCCCATGTGCCCCCCTGGAGCTCTCCATGTGCCCCTCTAGAGCTCCCCATCCCCATGTGCCCCTCTGGAGCTCCCCCTCCCCATGGTCCCCAGCCCCCTGCCATCCCCCCGGGGTCCAGCTCTGCTGTGATTTGCTGGGGTCACCCCTCACCCCCTCACCCCGCTGTCCCCACAGCCGCGCTGTCGCCCTTCGCGGTGACGCGGCGCATCGGGCACCCGTACCAGAACCGGACGCCGCCCAAGCGCAAGAAGCCGCGGACGTCCTTCTCCCGGGTGCAGATCTGCGAGCTGGAGAAGCGCTTCCACCGGCAGAAGTACCTGGCCTCGGCCGAGCGTGCCACCCTGGCCAAGGCCCTCAAGATGACGGATGCCCAGGTCAAGACCTGGTTCCAGAACCGCCGCACCAAGTGGAGGTAAAGGGACGGCTCCGGGGTGGCCGCCACAACTGCCATGCTCACGTCCCTCTGGCAGCCACCCCGATAGCCCCAAACCCCACATCCCTCCAGCAGCGAGCCCCCGGGAGAGGATGGGACTGGGATGGACTGGGGATGGATGGGATGAGCTGCCCATCACCGTGGCCTCCCTTGTGCACTGCTGGGTGAGGTGTGGCGGTGTGGGACGTGGCACAGTGGCACACGGCGGCGATAAGGGGACGAGGGACGGTGCTGTGGGGCAGTGCCAGCTGTGGTCTGAGCCAGTGGTGGGTGTCTGCAGGCGTCAGACGGCGGAGGAGCGCGAGGCGGAGCGGCAGCAGGCCAACAGGCTGATGCTGCACCTGCAGCAGGAGGCTTTCCAGAAGAGCCTGGCGCAGCCGCTGCCGCAGGACCCGCTCTGCATGCACAACTCCTCGCTCTACGCCCTGCAAAACCTCCAGCCCTGGGCCGAGGACAACAAGGTGACGTCGGTCTCGGGGGTGGCCTCTGTGGTGTGAGGTCCCTGGGTGCTGCTGACGTGCCAGGAGGTGGCAGTGGGAGCCCCCTGGGCTCTGAGCCTGGACCATGGCAGGGAAGGGGCTGCAGCTTCCTGGGAGCTCCCCACTGGCAGCCCCCTCCCTGCCACGGGGAGCCCCCCAGGACCACCCAGGAGGGAGGCCGTGCCCCTGTGGTTGGACTCAAAGCTTCACCAAACCCCACCTGGAGCACTGCTGGATGTAGCCCCCTGTGTGGACCCCCAGGAGCCCAGGGCAGGGCCCCCATGCCCTATGGACCTCTGCAGCCCCCTGTCTGACCCCCAGGAGCCCAGGGCTGGGCCCCAGCACCCCATGGATGTCTGTAGCTCCCTGCTCAGACCCGTGAGAGCCGATGGCTGGGTCTCTACACCCCACGGACACCTGCAGCTCCCTGCCCGGACCCCTGGGAGCCCAGGGATGGGCCCCCACACCTGGCAGGGTTCTGCAGCTCCCCCACCAGCACCTCCATAGGTCACACTGGCTCCATTTGGACCCCACAGCCTCCAGCCCACCTGGAGCAGGGTGGGGCGTGGACCTCCCATTCCTGGTGCTGGTGCTGACAGCCGGGTCTGCACCGCCCGCACCACTTGCCTTATTCCGGTCGGAGTTTGCCACCTCCGGCTTCCATCTGTGCCCTCCAGGCTGGGTGAAGGACTTGGCCACCCCGGCCTCACCCCGTGGTGGGACAGACAGACCCCCGGCCCCCCAGCCACTGCTCTGTCAGCTCCCTGAGCCTGGACGTGTCCTTGCAGCCCTCCGCCGTGGACTCTCGGGGTGCCCCCCGTGCCGATGGATTGCACCAGTCCCTGACTCCCCCGGGACTGCCATCACCTCCCACAGACTGAGCCTTGGTGTGACCCACAGGACACTCGTGGGGTGCAGAGGGGCTGAATCCCCCTTCTTCCGGCAAATCTCTGCACCCCCTCCCCAGTGACCCCCTAAGTGGGGCTTCCCCCCGCCGGAACCATCCAGCCCGACTCCAGCCCCTGCTGATGATGATGATGATGATGAAGGGAATGAAGGGGATGCGGGGGGATAACAGTGGTGACCTTGACCCTGAACTCGACCTTGCCCCCCACCCCGCTGCTATCCACGATACCGCAGCCCCTCACCCCACTTTTGGAGGACAGGCTTCTGCCGGCTCCCCCTCTCTATTGCTACCGGGAGGAGTCGGACACCCGGTACCGGCGGGATTGGCTGCGGTTCCGTGACGCGGAGGGGTGGAACCGCATTACCACCGGGATGAGTGCGGCCGAGGGCCGGCCCCGGTGCCGGTGGGGCGGCGGCGAGGCGGTGCTTCGTGCCCGTGCTGAGGCCGCCGGTTACCGGAGGCTGCTGCGAGCCCGAGCCGCCGAGGTGGAGGCGTTGCGGGGGGCGGTGGGCGCGTTACA